GGGGAGTCCCCGCCCCGGTGCAGCCTCAGCCGCGGTGCAGCCCTCGCCCCCATGCAGCCCTCGCTCCCGTGCATTCTCGGCCCCAATGCAGCCCTCGCTCCCGTGCATTCTCGGCCGCGGTGCAGGTGCAGACCCGCAGCCCCTCTGTCGCCCTCCCCCTGCCGGGCGCATCCCTGACCGCAGCCTCCCATCCCCGCGCAGCGCTGGCTCCATCGCGCTGCTCCTCTGGACTTCTAAAGGCTCCGGCTTCTAATTGTGTGTTGCCAGGAGGCTGTCGGGAAGCTGCCTGCAAAGTCGTTCTCCGCTCCCACTTTCCTGCTGTTATCTTTGACATCCTCATTATTTATTAACTGCCCTGAGTCCAACAGGCTGCCACTGATGCCGAGCTGCTATTATTATGCAGGGTCGATATCCCGCCTGCCTTCCAAGGTCACATCCTCCAGGATGTCTTGCAAGGCAGATTGACGAGGTACCACAAAGAGGCAACATGTTCTGTGCAGGCTGACGCCAGGTTCCGAGCAGGGCCCTTTGGCTCGGGATAACATGCGGGATTAGGAGCGCCAGGGGAGCCGGAGCAGCGGGGAGCCCCAGCCGCAGCTTCCAGGCAGCACAAGAGAGCTCTGCCCAACGTCGTGGCCTCGGGAAGGCCCTGCAGGGATTGTTGGGGTGCTCAGGTTGCAAAAGACCCCAGCCTGTTACCACTGCCAGCACCGATGAACTCCCTTTTCCAGCAGGAACGCATCCCGCTGCTCCGTGCCAACCGGTGCCACGTCCAGAGCATCAGAACAGACTGATGCTCTGGCTCTTCCCCAGCTTTCAGGGGACTCTCTGCTTCTCCCCCGCCCCTTTTATCCCGCTTTCAGAAATGATCCCTCATGAGTCATTCCCTGGAAAAACACCTGATTAGAAAAATCTGGCTGCCTTTTCAGAAACCCTTCCGGCTGCAGGTGAGAGACCTGAATCAAGAGTAAGTAACTGGAGGAGCACTTCACACCCCGTTACTGCTTCCCAGCAGCATCAGGGATGTTCTGGGAGCTCCCGGGAGCGGCGCGAGGCCAGGAGCCCGGCACAGGAGCAGCTCCCGCGGGGACGGGGGTTCTGCAGAGCAACTCCCTGTGCGTAGGAATCGCTGCTGCAACCCTGGGATGGGGAGGAGGGAGACGGGCGGGCGGGACGCGGATGCAGGGCAGGATGCGGATACAGGGGAGGACGCGGATGCAGGGCAGGATGCAGGGTGACCCTGGGACGAGGGCTCCCTCATGGGCAGGAGGGACCTGATGACGGTTTCCCGGCACCGAGGAAAGCGGCCGGTTCGGTCCCAAGCAGAGGCGATTCCTGGGGTGATTCCTGCGAGAGCAGGGCTAGCACAAGCCCCGTTCCCTTCCAGCGACTCCCTCCGGCTGGAAGCGGCGACTCCGGCGCTTCCCAGAGCGGCGGCTGCTCCCGGAGCCGCTCCTGGGGCTCGCGAAGCGCCCGGCAGTTTGTGCAGCTCTCCGGTAAGCAGCAGGGACGTGTTTGCCCGGGAAGCGAATCCCAGCACATCCTCCTGTGTAGGCTCTATGTTATGGAACAGTGAGTCTGCCAAATTAATTAGCACACGGGGCTTCGTTTACTCAGCTCATCTGCATATCTTGCTCCGAGGCTGCGGGAAATCGCCTCCAGGTGCTGCTCGGATGCTCGCGGCGGTTGCAGCTCCAGCCCCGCTGCAGGCGGATGCAACATGCACACGTTTTGGGTGCATGGACCCTGAATTCCCATCTCCCTGCTCTCCATCCTGCCCTGCAAGTGCCCATGCCCACATCCAAGTCCCTGTCCTTATCTGCCACCCAACGGAGCTGCCCCGTCTGCACAGTGGAGTTGCATGGAGAAGGACACAGGAGCATTCCGGGGATTCTGCCGTTTCCTCATCTTGGCACAAATCCCCCGAGCCGATTGTTTGAAGGATGAGTCACCAACACAACAGCAAAGACACATCCTTGACTTAGTGGCAGAGAAGGGGGATGTGACCAG